CTAATCTACCTTCTATCTCTATAGATTTGCTTATTCTGGACGTTTCATACAAGTGGAATCATATAGTATATGGTCTTTTGTGATTGACTTCTTTTACCTAGCATGTTTTCAAGGTTCATCCATGTTGTAGTACAGGACTTCATTTCTCTCTATTTCTGAATAATATTTCATTGTACACACATATACCCCCTTTGTTTATCCATTTGTTGATGGAAATTTGGGTGGTTTCAACTTTATCTATTATAAATAATGCTGCTACCATAAGCATTCATGTACAAGTTTTGTGGGGATATATGTTTGTATGTTTTCATTTTTCTTGGGTATATACCCAGGAGTGGAATTTCTAGGTCATATGGTAGAATAACTCTGTGTAACATTTTGAGAGACTACCACACTGTTTTCCAAGGTAGCTGTGCCATTTTTCATTTCCAGCAGCAATGCACAAGGGTTCCAGTTTTTCCACATCTTCATCAATACTATTTTCTGTCCTTTTGATTGTAGTCATTCTGTTGGGTATGAAATGGTATCTCCTTTGTGGTTCGGGTTTTCATTTACCTACCAGTGATGTTGAGCAAGATGTCTGTGTGTGTGTTTTATCAGCCGTTTGTATTTCTTCTTTGAAGAAATGTCTATTCAAGCCCCTGGCCCATTTTTAAATTGGGCTATGTGTCTTGTTAATTGAGTTTTAAGAATTCTTTATATATTCTGGATAAAAGTCCCTTATCAGATACATGAATTGTAAATATTTCACTCATTCTGTGGGTTGTCTTTTCATTCTCTTGATATACTGTCCTCTGAATAGTGTCCTTTTAAATTTTTATGAAGTCTGATTTATCTGCTTTTTCTTCTGTTGCTTGTGTTTTTGGTGTCATATGTAAGAAACACTGTCTGACTGAAGGTCGCAAAGGTTTATTTCTGTTTTCTTCTAGGACTTTTATGGTTTTAGTTCTTGTATTTAGTTGTATAATCCATTTTGAATTAGTTTTTTTGTATATATTGTGTGGCAGGGCTGCAACTTCACTTATTTTTTATTTATTTTTGCTTGTGATATCCAGTTGTTCCAGTACCTTTTCTTAAAAAGTCTATTCTTATCCACTGAATCATTGAATTGTCTTAGCACCCTTGTTGAAAATCAGTTGACCGTAAATGTAAGCATTTATTTCCGGACTCTCAATTCTATTTCATTTATCTCTATGACTTATATGCAGTACTGTGTTTACGTGTGTGTGTGTGTGTGTGTGTGTGTATAAAATCTTGGTGATTGGCATTTTTCCCTTGGCCTTAATTTAGGTGGTTAGGGAAATGGGACAAATTAAAAAATAGGAATTTGAGACTGCATCAGGGATATGTCCATGAGGTCCCTCCTACCTCCATTGAACCCACTTATCAGGGATATAAAGAGTAAGTAGTCGTAGTCATTGGTTTGCTGTTAGTTTTTGTTCTTTTTCTCTTCCTCCCAGAAATGGAATGCATTACGGAATCTTTTGGAGTGGAGCACATTTGAGATGTCTCTGGTCCTTGGCCTGGCCTGCTAGTAAAGACTTGGCTAAGTTACTTAATGAGTTTTGAATGTCCTCCCCCTTTACGTGGCCAATTCTCTGAGTTATTTAGTTTCATGGTATGAAAAGCCTAGTCTTGATCTTTGTAATGTTTCCTGGCTATTTTAATTTTTAATAATAAAAAATGCATGACATAGAAAAAAATGCAAAACTTGGCTATGACACTGCATCTGCCTGAGAAACATAGTTGGAGAGACTGCCTTACCTTGAGAGCCTTTAGCTGTTGATAAATAGCTGCAACTTCTCACAAAAATGTCTTAATTTTATTCTTGGATCCGTGGGAATTTAGAAATATAGGCTTTTAATTGTTCACAGCTGGTGCATGAATATAGCGGTAATAATAATTAGGAATAACATGGTTCACCTCTTAAGCTGTTAGTTTTAATCCACTAAATTGTTTTGATCTGAAGTCTGGCAAAGTCTTCAAGTGAAACCATTTGGAGGAGGTCCATGCTAGTTTTCAATCAGGAAGTGTGCAAGGCTGTCTTGTCCTGCTAATTTGTTAGAATGATTTCGATGGTTTGATTTTAATGTCTTCCACCTAAACACACACACTCAACCCACCTACTCTCAATCCACCGAGTATCCTCACTGCAGAGCCCTTGAACAGAAACAACTAGACCTATCAGCCTGCATCCAGCCTTTTAGGGAGCTTGCAGCCTCTGGCTGGCCCTCTGCAGGGAGAGGAGCCTTGTTAGGGGGAGAGGGTGTTTGCTCTGAGTCTATTGTGAATGGAGGCTGAACAAGAGTGCGGTGCTCACTGGAATTCCCCAGATTGTAGTCATGGAAATCTTAAAGCTGATTTGTAAAGTTATTTATTTCCCCTCCTCCACCATTTTTTGGAAAATTCTCAAATTTCAAAATATTAATACAATTTTTTTTTGGTGGAGTTTATGTACCATGGTTTCTTAATGCTCTACAATTTCAAAATGCTTCATAGTAATATTTATTATAGAGTAAGTATAAAAAAAGATAGTGTCATCACTGTCTTGGAGAATGATTTGAATGGAGGTTGTATTCTGGGAAACTTTAGCAACAACAACAAAATAGATGTGATATGAGAACATGTATTTATATCAAATTATTAAAAGATACCTCTATTCCCTTAGGTAACCTGGGTAGGAAAAGAATCCTAAATTTACACTTTAGGTGGAAAAAAAAATTAAAATCTCAATTAACTTTATTTTGTAGAAGTAGTAGTATAAAGTTAATGATATCAACAAGTTGATAGCTTCTTATAACTTACGCTAGCAATGAATTTGACTAATTTATTAAACATTTGTTACCTGGAACTAAACAATTCCCAGCATCCTCTTCGACTTTCTCACAGGACTTGGAACAAGGTTACTTCTGCCAGGTATAGTGGATATAAAAACCTAGCCAGGAAAATTTTGCAGTGACAACCTTTTTACTTTTCAAAGTATATAATGTAAAGAGCTTTCTTAAAACTGCAGATGAGAACCCATTCTACTAAAGGTAGGCTGTCACATTGTAGTTCCAAGAAAACATAGTATAATTCTTTTTACTTTAGAGGACCATGAGATTGAAGTGGAGAGAGGTTGTGACTTCATGCAAACACCAGATCAGTATTAGAAATTACTGTGAGATCTATAAATTTGCCAGTTTCTAAAAGTGATTTTTGGTGCTTCACTCGCAGTTTCCTGAAGTACTGCTTGTCAGGGGAACAGAGAAGTGGTAATAATTCTGTTACTAGGGAGTCTTACATCCCTGCCCCTCAAAGAGCCTCTTTTCCCATCCCAGGCCGTTTATGCATGACGTTCAGCATGTGCACACTGTGAGTGCTTACGTTTTAAGTATTTGCTTCTGGAGAGCCAGCTTGAAAAAGCAAAACAGAAAAATCCATTGGCATTTTGAGAGTTGAATCCACAGAAGATGTTGTTTGCAATGTGCCGAAAACATAAGGTCCAAACAGCCGGAACAGGCCTGGTGCCAGGCAATTTCACTTGGAGAGAAAGAGGAGGTCTAAAGCAGTCCTCTAAGGATTATCTCCAACTCAGCAGCTGCTGTCTGAGTTTGATTATGCACATCCTGCTCTAGGAGACCTGCATTAACCCTTGGGCCCCTGGGGAATTTAGGGACTGTCTTTTAAACAAAAGACTCTTCCCCTGGACACCCAGGGGCAAAAGCCAAAACTGTGTGGAGGTTAAAAGAAGGTGGTGCTCTTGAAGACTGGATTTAAGGGAACAATCTAGGAAGGAAACCGATTGCACAGTTCCCTAGTTGCAAGTGCCTTTTAAGACCCTTTAATTTTATAGATCAGAAAACAGAGACTCAGAGAAGTTAAGTGACTTGCCCAGAGAGAACCAGCAGGACTGAAATCCAGGTCTCCTCATTCCCAGCGTGGAGCTGTTTTATATAGTACCACATCCCTGATGGCACGATTTTTATATCACTTGTAAATATTAATAGTATGTTGTATGTTTTTAAAAATCAAGCCGAGAGGGAAGAAACTTTAAAGAAGCCTTTTGGAAATATGCGTTAACAACTTTTTATAGACTGTCCAGGCATTTGAGATTTTTCATTGAAGTAGTGTTTTATCCGTGTATAAATCTTAACAAGTGACCAGTAAACAAATCATTCCAGTACATTCTCTGTATGATTTTTTTAAAGGCAGAACTGGCATACTAGGAAGGTGTTGGGAGGGAAAGCTTGAATCTAGGAACACTGCTCTGAAAACAAGGAAGGGTGTTTATGGAATGAACTCTTTTGTTCACCCACGGTGGTGTCTGGATCAGGGCAACCTTGGAGGATTTACGGCCTCCAATCTGGAGAAGGTAGGTGGGCTCAGTTGTATGTGTTGAAGAATGTGTGTGGGGTCTTTGAGCCTAAGGCTGTCCAGGTAACAAAAGGCTTTGTCAAAGAAGCTGTCTATCTAGAGGAGTACTTTGAGAGTAATATGTTGCTGTTTATTTCACATCTTTGTTGGGTATTGAGAATTTCCTTGCTTTGTGGCTGTAACAAGATCCCCAGCTTTCTTCCTTTTAAAGCAGGCGTCCTCAAACTATGGCCCTCGGGCCACACGTGAGTGTTTTTGCCCCTTTGTTTATTTACTTCAATATAAGATACGTGCAGTGTGCATAGGAATTTGTTTATAGTTTTTTTTAAAACTGTAGTCCGGCCCTCCACCGGTCTGAGGGACAGTGAACTGGCCCCCTGTTTAAAAAGTTTAAGGGACCCCTGTTTTAAAGGTTGGGATGCCGATTTCTTGTAGGAAATAACCTATTAAATCCAAGGATATCACTAAAACATGTGTGCTTTTCTCTTTTTTGCCCAGTTAAAGGATTGAGCTGTTAGGGTTTTGTTGATATAATGAACATTGTTGACCTGAAGGGTTTTGACTAACCGAGAGAGAAAAATCAGGATGGTCTTATTCACTAAAATTTCAAGGAAATTTGGAATCTAATTTTATACTTTCTAATGTGGGATTTTTAATTGCTTTATTCATTTTTAAAGGTTGAGTGTAAGCTGAGTCTGTATCTTTTTCTGCAGTCCCGTGATCCTTTCTGTGAAACGTAAAAAAAAAATGCTTCAGTTAGGATGCTCTATTGAGACACAGTGGAATGTCTTTCTTTGATTGCAGTTATTCTTTTTCTAAGATTTTGGTTATATCTATGGCTGTAAATAAAGGGGAAAGCGGGGCTTTGAGCACACAGTAGAATGAGAGGTCCCAAACAGGACAAAAGAGTCTTCTCTTAGAGCTATGCTTTGGAAGTGGTTGTTTTTTTTTTGTTGTTTTTTTTTTTTTAGTAGCCTAATCAGGACATGCATGTGTCTGTTTATTGATTGATGAGCTTTTGAAGTACCTGTTGCCTGAAAGTGATTTTTCTAGTGGTTACCTGATTTTTGTCTCTAGAAAAGTTAGGGCAGAAAGAAAAAGCTTTGCATTATTTTTGTAGTTCTTAACTAAAAACATAGTCTTGGGTACTTTGGAAAGAAGGTTGGTAATCCCTTCCTCCTTTTTTCCCTTAATTGGCGGCAGTGTCTCTTCACCCCACTGAGAAGCACTTTCTTAATGCTGTCACTGTGCCGCGATGACATCAGAGAAGGCAACTACAGTGATTTTCTCTGTAGGCAGTTATTCTAGTTTATGTGTTGTATTATGAAGCTTTTGGGGGAAATCACTGTTTGGACTGCTAAGGTAAGGAAAATAGCTTAAGAATCTATGATCTATATTTGAAATAGGTATTAAGCTATGTCATTGGATTTTTTGAGTGTAAAATGAGCAGGTTCAGGATGTAAAGTATGAGCTCCTTTCAAATTGTCACGTCGACTAGAAGTAACATTCCTCAGGTGGTGGCTTTATCTAGAAAGGGGATATGTCTATTTCTGGATTAGCTTCACAGAAGTGAAGTGTATTTCCCACCTGCTGCTTTTGCCTGGGGTTGGAATTTTTCCTTTTCACTGCGTGTTACTTGGTGTTTGGATGGAAATGTTGTCTCCCTTTCATAGCCAGAAAGTTTCTATGTGATTCATCAGGAAAAGTTCCTCTAAGGAGTTATTAATTCATTCGCTCCATAGTAAATGGCTCCTACTGCAGTGATAAACCTCTGGATTTGACATGTTTTGTTTTTTTTTTTTTTTCTCTTAAATCTTTTTCTTCCAGCAAAAAAATGCATACAATGGATTGCTGAGCATCTAAAATCTCACACTGTTTAGCACTGTCATTCTTTGTAATCGCTTTTAAGCAGATTTGGTGTTGTTTTGCTGCTTAAGCTTAAAACCATGTTAATATGAAGTTTAGACTTTTGTAGTGTAGAAGTAGCTCATGAATAATAACGGGGGGTCTTTCAGATTTCTTTGAAGAAGAAAGATGAATGTATGGTGAATATATATGCATTTCAAGTATTTGAAAGTGTTACTTACTAATTTTGGTTGGAAGTTAAGCTTGTCCCTGATGGTTTGGGCTTTGTCCAGTGGTAGCTCTTGGAGTCCTAGGTGCTGTTGGAGAGGAGCCTTTCATTCTCTGCATTCTGGGGGAGATTTACATCTGTAAGCCGGATAAAAATATGTGGAAAGGTGATTAGTTTAATTGGCCCACTATTATAATTATTCAGTAGGAGGTGACTGTGGGACTACTATTATAGCCTTAAATGCCTGGTAGGAAGGGGAGGAGACTCATTGAAAATAAATAGCAGCAACATTAAAAAAGTTGATGTAAACGTGTATTTAATAACACATTACAGGGAGGAGGGGAGGCAAGGGCAATATACGTAACCTTAACATTTGTACCCCGTTCATATGCTGACATAAGAAAAAAATAAATAAAAGGTAGATCTAATAACAAAACAATATATAAATAAGAAAATAACAAATTACCCTGGCACATTAAAAACAGAGGAATTTCTAACTATTTGGTACAAGAATCCATCCAAAAAAGAGGCAAATTTTTTTCTTTCTTTTTTTTGGGAAATTCTGCTAGTGATTTCTTTTCTCTTAAAATATTATAGGGGAGAACAGGATTTAGGTAGATGTAAACTCACCCAGTATGTTTGTAACTAAGTTTTTTCTAAGGTTGTTGCTATAGACACTCAGGGTGGCCACAATGGTGGTGGTGGTTTAGCTTCTTTCAAAAAAGGAAGCCCAGTCCAGGGTATCATTGTAAAGTGGAGTATTTTTCTTTCACATCAAAGGGCAGGGAATGTTTTACAGACAGTGAGCTAAGAAGTAGGGCACAGGCATTTCAGTACTTGCATTGGGAAACTATGTGTGGAATGTCATAGTTCATGGACCAGAGACCCTGAAGTGAATCCAGGTGCCTGCACGGTGCTAACTTTTCTTGCAGCGAAATGACTGTAGGCAGAAGTTGCAGCCAGATGAACCCAAAATAAAATTGATGGCTTTATTGGACATTCTTTTCATGAGATTTAACTTTCTAATGTGCCCATATATCACTCTGGGGATGTCATTATAAATGGCTGACCTTTTGTTTGGGAGAGCTGCTGCTCGCTGCCTGTGTAGCTCTGATCAGCTCAGCTTTGATTCCCACCCACATCTGTTGAACATGAGATATATATATATATAATTTTTTTTCCACCTCTGTAGCACACTGACAACTGGCTAAAAAGATTCAATGAAAACCATTCAGAACTAATTTCAGTTAGATATTCCAGTTTAGGATATCAGCTTGTATGGATTCAGAGGTAGAGGTTAAGGCTTCCTAAAAGTCCTTGTTTGTTGAAGGCAGCATCAGGAAATCTCCTTGGGCAGGGCACTGGCTTTCTTTGTCTTAGCTCCCCCAACTGCTGCCCAGGGTTAATGATTGTAGGATGGCTGGGAACAATGAACTAGGGCTGCAAAGCTTGTTTTCAACATGCTCAAGTAATATTTAAAAACCATTCCTCCTCCTTTTTTCCCTCTTTCCAAGAGAAGTCAGAGCACTGCTGTGGTTACACCTAATAAATACTGCAGGCTTCATTGAGCTATTTAATGGGACCTAATGTAGTGTCATTTGTGCACTTCAGTAGGTGGTGCCTATTTTTTTTTGTGTGTGGTTTACTGCTCAATCTTAGAAAGATGTGGGATTTGAGGACTTTCCAGTTATAGTCTTTTATGGAACCAGAATTTGAGACAGTTAAGACTTTGGCCATTATTGAATAGGTAACCTGGATTTCCATGTGAGCTATGAGGCTACTGGAGGAATTGGGTCACAATAACATAAAATTGTACTTTGCCCCTCCAGCTCATTCCAGAGAAATAATTGGAATCGCTGCTCTCCCTCCCTTCTGCATGCAAAAACCCAGTCATGATTTCAGCCTCTGCCCACGGGTTCCTGAATGTTCATGGCTGCCCACTCACCCTCCCCGTGGCATTCTCTAGCACGTCTTTTGCTGTTCTGGAGGTGAGAAGTGGTGAGGCTTTTGGTCATTGTGAGATGTCATTTAGGGCAGAAGATGGCACTGCCTCGATCCTGATCATCCTGGAGAAGCTCCTGTGCCTATTCTTGGAAAGCCACCCTCCTTGGTGCTGCTGCAGCCGCCTCTGCTCCTCTTCCAACACCCCCCCCCTTCCTGTGGTCACTTTAACTTGCAGGTCTTGCTTCCTATTGCACTGGCATGCTGTGCATGTCACTGGACGCATTCCTTATCAGATCCCATTCCTGAGGGAGTGAGGCTGCACCCCAGCCCAACTTTTCCATCCTCCTTGGGCTGCCATTGTTTGTGAGCTGGCAGAGGGCATAGAGAAGGTTCTTGTCCTGGGGGCTAGAAGTTAGGCCCAGTTCCTCCAGTGTTTATCTTCTCCTATAAAGCTTTTTGGTGACAAAACCTTCCTCAGCTGGTCTACCCTCCAGGCAGGTTAGTTGAACTCAGACTGGTGCTTGGAAGGGTTAGAGGACTTGTGTGAGAAGGTACCTTACCGGTGAACTGTTAATACATTGCTAAGTCTGTTGATTTCTGAGGGCTTTCTCTTGATTTGTTGGATTTTTTTTTTTTTTTTTTGATCCTTGTAAAAGTACTTCTTGGGCTCCAGTTTCTCTACATGTAAGATCAGAATAAGACCACTAACTCATGTAATTTAAGGATTAAGGGGACAGTCCCAAGAAGAAAACTGAGATGATGAGAGCCTCCAAAGGAAAGGATCTGGGATGACATTTTTGGAGCCCTTTCCATACATTGTCAGGGTTGGTCTGCACAGTAGGCCTGTAGGGCAGGCATCATTGGACTACTTCACAGATGATCAAAGTAAGTCCCAGAGGGGTTTATGGGGTGCCCCTTTGAATGCTTAATCAAAACTAAATATTTGGTTTGAAGTTTGCTTAGTGTCAAATGATAGAGGTAGTCATGGCTTTTGGATATGACTACCAGACATATTTTTGCCTTGGGGTTCTTTTCTGATATTTTGGTCCTATAGACATCCCCAACATGGATTTGTACCTATTTTTGTTATGGATTTAAGGAGGTTAGTATTCTGTGAATATGTACTAATTATTTGTGATTCTGGATTTAAACATAGGCATCATTAAAGGTAATGCAGACTTTAAGTTTTATAGTAAATGAAGCTTCAAAAATTTTACGTAGGCAAAAGAAAATAATTAGAAGTTTATATGCTTGATATATAGAGCTGATATCCTTAAAGCAATTGTAAAAATTACTCAGTTATAAGAATATTGCTTATTATGTAGCATATTGTGAGTAAATGACAGGACCAAATACTTTATAGTTAACAGAAATTTCTCTTCTTTCTTTCTTGAAGTTTAAAAAGTTTAAAATCAGATGTCTCTAGCGTATTTTCAAGGAGTTGGGAGGGACACAGGAAGGTCTTTCTGGATTGCAGGAGTGCCAACATAGGTTGTGCCAAGAGAGCTATGGAAACCCTTGGAATTAAGGGATTCAGTGAGTGAAAAGTGGAAAAGGCCTTTCCGTTTTCTTTTTGAGAATTTTTAAGGGTCTTCATAGGTACTTGGTTACCTAAGCAGAGAGCAAGTGCTGAAGGGTCAAGTCAAGGAACCAAAAATTGGATCCTGTATTGACCCCCGTGTAGCTGAGGCCAGGGCTCCTGATTTCCTTCAGTCTCCAGTGATCCATCTGAGAAACCAGGACAGTTGATGGTGCTGTCCGGTGTGGGGCTCAGACCTGCAGGGGAGTTAGGAGACTGGTCACTGGCCTGCAGGGCCAAGGCAAGTGCCCTCTATAGAGGGGATAGCTTCATGCAACAATCTGTTCCCAATGTCTGGGTGACTCCCTTTGCCATTACTTGGCTCCATTTTTGGATGTCAGAGTCATATTCTTCATTATTTATGACTCCTACTGATTTTTGGCATCATTGACTCATACAGGATTTATTTCAGCAGCTAGCATGGCGCCTGGCCCATAGTAGGTGCTCAGTAAATACTTGTTGAATGAATGCACCCCCTGGGGGAAGAGGGCAGGCTGTTTTACCTATCAGCATGGTGGTGGCGGGTAGTGGTAAGAGACCATGCTCCAGGGACAGGTTCGAGAGCTTCATTATTTCTGCCTTGGGAGCATGAATGCACCCTCTGTTGCAATAGGGCAATGCTGCAACATGATAAATTCCACTTGAATCATTCTTTGTTCTTCATCATCACTGCCTTGCCACTGCTCTTGTAGGACAGACACTACAGGAGACTCCTAATGTTCTCCCTGCCTTTGGTGGGTGCTTGGGCACTGACCTAGCCTTCTAGTCTCACAGCTCTGTCTTTCTAAAAGAGAAATCTGATCGTGTCACACTCCTGCTGACATGCCCTTCAGTGGCTCCCCAGTGCCTTCAGTAAAATCCATACTCTTTACCTTCGTGGTGCACAGAACCCGCCATGATCGGATCCCGCTTGCCTCTGCAGCGGCAAGTCCCAGGGCCTCGTTGTCCAGGCTGTTCAAGTGGGGTGTCTTAGCCTACCAGATGGAGTTAGATTTGTTGGGTTTTAAAACCAGGCTACTTTGAGTTGGGTCTTCAAATGAGCTGAGAATCAACATGTTTGGGACAGATCTGCGGGGTACATTTAAAAAATGGCAATGAATGTTCAGAGTAAGGGTGTAACAATTCATGTTAAATAACCAGAGATAATTGAGGTATTAAGGGATCTTTGCATATAGTTTTTAAAAAAATCAATTTAATAAAGTCTGTTTTTCAACTGACTCTGTAGTTCATGTGGATAATATCTGAGGTATATAGCACATACATTGTATACTCACCTATGTATGATATGTATTAATTTAGAAAGGAAAAAGAATGAGGCAGAAACTTGTACTACAAGAGGTTAAAACATTATAAAGCTATGATAATAAAAGATGATGATATAGGTATAAAAAAATAAGCAAACAATCCAATAAAACAACACTTTTCAAATTTTCTAATGTATTGAATAATTATATGATGAATCATTGGATAAGTAGCAGATTATTTGCTAAAGGGGGTTGTCAAAATTAATATTAAAAAAATCTATTTAGATTCTTCTCTCAGATCAGATACCAGAATATCATCCATGTGGATTGGATTTAAATACATATATGTAAAGCCCTAAACTTAAGAAAA